ATGTCAAATATAATGATTAACATTTAACATGTTTCTAATCTTTTCATAGCTAAAATTCATCACTGCATTCAATGTTTTGTATTTTGTAAAAAAAAAAAGATAATTTTCATTTTCAGGATTCGTATATTAATCTTTAATCTTAAATCGTGTCATAAATTGAAATCAAATCAAATTATTTATAAAATTCAAAATGGGATAAATTTAAAGTCAAATATTTCGATGCTCGAATAATCATAGGTTTTTCTATAGCAATAATTTGATCCTAAACCGGTCAATCCGTAAAAGTTTGTAATTCGAGTTCTAACGCGTGGGTCAATAATATCTTCACTAGCTATTTTTAATAACTAGATCATGCACGAACTTCTCACATACGCACAAAACGTTTTTTATAAATTTAATAATTTTTCATAACATACTACTTTTTCATAACGTGCTACTTGATACGTTAAATACATGTTTTTCCTCCTTTTTCTCGATTTAAATTTAACGATAACGATGACGACGACGAGATCGACGAAAAAAAATGTCGAACAATTTAAATAATACTCAAACGAATAAAAAAACTTTTAATCGTTTGATAAATAATATTTTATTCTTATTTTAATACACACATTTCCTTTTAATTTATACCTGTTGTAGAATCTTTTGAATTTCGTAGAGGGCGTTAATGTTGCCAGTCATACCAACTTCAACAATTTGATCTTTTCCTACAATCGATTTAATTAAACGTTCCAACGTTCCATTATTTAAAAGACTTTAAAGTGGTTTTTTTCTTGTTTTTTTTTTGTAGTAAAATTTTGATTTGTGAATTATAATGAAATTATCAAAATTTTATTGGATGATATTCATCACGTGTTACTTGTCATTTAGTATGTTATATGAATAATGATTTATCGAATGTTTGTTTATTTATAAATATTTTTAGGCCACGCCCTCGAATGCTATGTGTGTACAGATCAAGAAGGTAACAGAGAAAAATGTTTAAAAAGTACAAAAACTTGCGAACAACATCAAGATACTTGTTTCACGGAAATTAAATGGGGAAGTAAGTTAAGTAACTAGCATAAAATGTTTTAATGACAGCTTTTTGAGGTTATGTTTATAGTACGTAGTGCTATAGAACAGTGATTTGTTAAGATAAATTATTCTTATAAAAACGAAAAATCTGCGTTCTTAGCATGATATTGTTATTATAGTTATTGGTAAATAAATTTTATAGGTACACCATACTGGTCGCAAGGAGCAAAAAAACAATATTACGTTTCAAAAAGATGTGCCACAAAGAAAGAATGTGAACGAATAAAACGTGCTAATATGGATGATTGCACGTATATTTGGTATCAAGATTGGAAATGTTCTGATTGCTGTCAAGGAGATAAATGCAATTATTATGTGATTTCCATGGCGGAGAAATTACATTCTTATTGGTTGACCGTTACCGCTACATTGATATTTTTGCATTTATGGCAGAGGTAATCGATCTATTTCCGATTCATTAGCCGCAATTGGCGGCTATTTCTTTTACTCGTCTGTTCTTCTCTCCATAATCGTTCGATTCAATCATTTTATCATTATGGAGACTTGAATTCATTGAGCTACAGACTTTTGAAAATTATATTTAATCGAAAATGATAAATTGTAACTTGAAATGTAATATTAATTAATTTTCAAGTAATTTATATTTAAAAATAATTTACAATTTAGAAATAGTTTACAAAAATTTTATCCAATTTTATTTTATATTATCATTTATTCGAACAGCAAATTTCAATTTAATGAACATTCAATCTAAATATTTATAAGTTAATTTGAAAAGTATTTTTAAATAGGCATAAAAGATTAATTTAATTATGCCTATTAGATATTATATATCATATCCGTCCAATAAAATATCCGTTCGTATAGCGTATATTTTATCGAAAAAAAATATATTATTTGATATTTTATATTTGTGAATAAAATTATGGTATGAAATATATGCAATACGTTTTGTAAAAATTTTTATTTCTTTTATTATCCTTTTATTTCTAATCTATCGTCGCTTTGATAAACATAACGTGAGAAATCAAATAATCATATCTTTTTGTAACGTATTATATATCACATCGTGTAGAGGATATCCGATACTTAGTGTAGATAAGCGGACTGGAGAATAATTATTTACAATGAATTCATACTAATCGACACAGAATAAGTTCAGAGTGTTAAAAGCAGTATCATTTTTTGAATCGATATCTTTGATAAGTATTTTTTGACGTACGATATTCATGTAAGTACAAGTATATTTATTTTTTCTCTCTCTAAAAATACAACAGACTCGAAATTATCAAATTATATATAATTCTAATAAAAATATATCCTTAAATTAGTATTCAATACTTGTTCATTGTTCGCTTCATAGTGTCGATTGTGCGGAATAATTAAATTTCGTTACAACAACAAATATGAACGATTTTTATCATGATCAAATGAATATATATATATATATATATATATAATTCGCATTAATCAAGTAACGATGAACATGAACACAAACGAAATCGAAAAAATAAGATCAAGAAGGGGAAAAAAAAAATTTTGATGTATGAAACGGAAAAAAAACACTTCTTTTTTACATTATCTAAACTTATCAATAAAATCAACAAAATAACAATAGGATGATCAGATTGTATCGGTTATAATGTTAAGATCAAAAATTATAAGCAGATGGCTGATATTGATGAGATTGAACAATTCTAATCTATTCAATTGCGGTGAAGCAATTCCGACCAATTGAATGATTCTTCTTTGCTCGCACCACGACCGATCTTTGAGCTTGATTTAAAAACATTTTAATTAACGCTTCTTTAGTCACAAATCGAATGCTCTCTATGGAACCGGTAGTCCATTCGTTCATTTCAGTATAGTCTTTTATGATCTATAGACAAAAATTGATTTGATTGTATTTTAAATGATAAGAAAATTAAAAAGGTATAGAAACGATATCTTCGATCAAATAGTCCGTTCATATCGTCGATTGGCAAAGTCTTTGAACAGTTTTCATTCTTCTCTTAGTTCTTATACGAACTTACGTAAAAATATAAAAATTCTGACGTCTCACGTATCACGGATAATAACACTTGTTACTTTCAGTTGTATAAAATGAAGATCTGGAAATTAAAAACTTTGTACAAGATGTTTAGTCGGAAGAAAGAGGTGGATCATTCTCAGGACACAAGATTGGCAAGATGTTTATCGACATTGGATCTCACGGCTCTCGGAATAGGCTCGACTCTTGGCGTGGGTGTGTATGTTCTCGCAGGCTCTGTCTCAAAAACGATCGCAGGCCCTGCGGTAATAGTTTCGTTTGCAATCGCCGCTATCGCATCCATGTTCGCAGGTATATAATTCAAATTCGATTCGTCGTTGCTTTATCGATTTTATCTTTTCTGCTAGATCGATAAAGAAGAAAAAAATTAATTCAACTTTTTTTTTTGAACCCCAGGTCTGTGTTACGCGGAATTCGGTGCAAGAGTTCCACGTGCGGGATCAGCGTACATATACAGTTATGTAACAATGGGAGAATTTACAGCTTTTCTGATCGGTTGGACGTTAATTCTCGAATACGTAATCGGCTCGGCTAGCGTAGTGCGAGGACTCAGCACTTACGTAGACGCTTTGTTTAACAACACTATG